AAAAAAAAAAAAAAAAAAGTGGAAGTAAACAGGACTTCGAGAAAAAATTTCGGAATCTTTAAAAGTAATCTTTGGTGTTTTTAGGTTCAACTCACATTTCATTCTACTACCTGAAATTTCGGTTTGGTTGGGATGCTGGATTGTACGGATTCCTTAAAGGACCTACGCAAGGACTCGCAATGTTAAATGTAACTACAGATTGTTTTAAACACAAATTATTTTAGTGTGATAAGTTACGTACCGTAGAAAGCTTTCGTTTATCGTATCCAACGTCAGTTTTAATCAACTTACGGTCACTGTTTCAGTCTTATCATTAGTTTTCATGTTATAGTGATTTTATAGGTACTATTTGTTTATCCATTATTACGAACATATAATTTCACCGATCGAACGCTTTCTCTTATTGGAGTGATTTCAAGAGCGTTGGGTAGACTGTGGCTTGCCGTTACGTGGAGTACACCATCTACCTTTTTATGTTAGATGATATCTTCTATTTTCTCGAATACAATATACAGTTTAATTATTGGAATGTAGAGTTTTTGGAGAATAAGATCTCCTTACCACAAATTCCAGTTACAGTAGATTTCATGATAAGGGAGTTAGGTATTCCAGTTATTTCCTCGCATTAGTTTATCATCAGAAATTTGCACCAGTTAGTCACTTAAATATATACTGCCACTCTGATGGAGCTATGCTAATTCATTGTTCATCCATCCTTCTAAGGAATGATTAAACGACATGGTTTTCGAATGACTTTTTTCACTGGGAGGACTTAAAGTTCAGGAATTTGATAAAAACTAATTCGCACTTTTTTCAGTGGTGTTTTTCGATTCATTTTCACGTTTTGCCGCTTCTGGCATGAGGGCGATCTCGGCTAACATGATACCGACTAGAAATCATGGTATGTACTGTCTGTCCAATTTCCATATTTTTTACAGCTGCATTAGTAGTAGGGATTTTACATATTCGGGGTTTGAGGTGCTCATTTTGTAAAATGTCATTCCACGTCTTAATAACCGAATAGAGAGCGAGCAAATAAAGACTATCTATTCGGTATATTATTTTTTACGAAACTTCTTAAAGTTTGCTAATCACTCATCGAATCTCGAATTTAGGTTCCATGTTTACGTTGTTTGCTGTAACGGAAGCATTCAGTAACTTGATAGCTGCCATAATATTCCATACGCTTTTCCCGCTGTCTCTCAATTTCTTACCGCAATTACCATTTTACATTCTTGCTGTTGCAATGTTAATCCCAACAGTTATACTTTAGTAGGTTCAATTTAAAAACTTGAATTTTCCATCCTAATAGTTTTATAGTTTACTCTCGCTTTCATGCGTTTCTTTTTTTTAAAAATACTAAACAAAAACCAGTGACTAGTGGGAGAGGAATATTTTGAATGAGGTCCAATTCTTTTTGGAAAGTTTTTTACAAAAAAAAATAAAACTCTCACCCAACTTTGACTTGTCTTTTCTTTAAAAGTATCAGTTTTTCTATTAGTGTAACTTTCCAGCATTTTACCAGAACAACCGGCAAATAATAGAGAATGAGTCAGACCCTGCTGCAGCAAAGAATACAAGCTTCGGAATCCTCGGGACTTGCTCGATCTAGGACTTAAGAACTAAAGAATTAAATCAGACTTGTTGCAAACACTATTCTCATTTTTGGTGTTTCTATATTAGCAGAAGTATAATTCATTATCCTTTCAAGTGTACTGCAGTATACCGGTAACTTCTTTTCTTCATATTTTTTTTTTTTTTTAATTTTATTATACATAGAACACAATTTTAGAATCACATTAAAAATTATCATAAATGCCTCACTTACTGCAGCATCACTTACAATATTGCATCAGATGAATGCCATAAATAATTGATATTTATTGATCTTTTGCTCATTCGACATTAAAATATATATATTTGAAAAATATTTTGCAAATTGCGTTTGCAAGCGATACAAAATCGTGTTGGAAAACCCTGCGTAAAACAAGGGTGATACTTTGATAGACACTAGCACCCCCTCCCCCTCCTCCCCTTAAGCACTTAATTAGGTAGTAAATTTCAGTTGCACGTCTATGGTACAACTGCTTGTGGAAGTCGGAGCAAGTTTTTAGTGCGGGAAACCATGGACTATTTAACAGTTTGCAATCTCCTTCAGGTTAGCAAAAATTCAAAAACTGAAGTAATCCTTAAACCAAAGTTTCCAAATCAAACAAATACAAATGAATCAACCAATCATACGAAATAGACTTTATTCCCTTCCTGGCTGACGAAGAAAAAGTACATTAATTCACATCTAAATAATGCTCCACCGAGAACGACAAAACTGCTTCGTCTCAGCCACAAAATAAACAAAAGTGCTAGAAAATGAAGTAGCAGGATGAAGCGACGGAAATAATCTTTTCCAGATATGAACTACAGAAGACGAAGCGATCTACTGTTTCAGTTCTTTAGCAGACATTATATAAAACAACATTCTTCATGAAAACTTTTACCTGAAGTTGTTAATCTGTGACGAAAACCACTTTTCCAAAACATGTTTTCTCACGGAAAGTTTTATAAAACTCAGCTGGTTTTCGCCCGTTATTCTTTTTCTCAAAAGTGTAGACGCTCGCGATTCGAAACTTCACTTTCCATTTTATATCTATTGCGCCTTCTACAGTAAGTTTACTGAATGATATGTTACGCTATCACGGTGTAAGAAATCACGCACTACAACATAGAGGTACAAATGAATAACTGGTAAGAAAACAAAACCAAAAGTCACATCAGTTTTTATGGCATCACTAGTCTGCCGTTTATTTGCTAGTATTTTTGAAGTTTTAACCTTATTTTTCACATGATAGAAAAAGCGTTTAGTTTTTCTTCCCTTTGATTTGACAATTTCTGATTTAATAAGAACTTATGCTAAAGCAATGAAAGTCATGAAGCAGCTGGGACTACAAATCATTATTTAAGGACAAGTGAATAATTTGCATAGGAGATGAAATAATGGATTGAACCGTCTAGAAATACTTTCACCAAGAAATTTTTTTTGGGAAAATGCTCAGTGTGCATTTTCTAATCATAAAAACGAAAGTTATCAAGGCGGAGAAAATAAATGATGGGAAAAAGTGAAGTCGGAAAAACGATGGAAGATAAGGACATACACTGATACGTCGCATCCTCAACTACTTCTTTTTTTGAATTCCACCACTTGTTGGACCAGCTGCTCGTTGCGGTGATGTGATCGGACGACCACTGTTCAGTCCAGCATATTGATATTTGGCCTTTTTTTCAGATGGCTTCAAGATCTGAAGCATGGACAAATCAAAGCAAACAAGGAAAGGAATTCAGATGAATCATCTAGATCTCCAAAATATAAAACTAAGGCTTGATAAACGAAAGTAGTAAGATAGCGAAGTTATAAAAAAATGTATGAGGAACGGTCATAATTGATAGTATGTTGAATTCCAGAAAAATACTACGAATGGTGGATCCAAGATGAAATAGGAAGAAAGTATCTGCATAGGACGTATAAATAAGTTTTCATCATGAATAACTGTCAATAGTAAGTAAATAACTTCGAAAACAACACCTACGATTACTGCATATTACACTTTTTCTGAATAATTAATTTCTTTAGGTACATATCAATCAGTACAATCTTTTTGTTTCGAAGCTATTTTGATGCAACCCGTTGTTTAGGATAAGTAATTTTGATCGACTGCAGGTTGGATTTGAAAAGACTATAGTATAACATTACTGCACAAATCGTCTTAATATGACCCCGACAAGGAATCATAATCTAACCTAACTATTCTGCACGCCACTGCTGACGCCACTTGATTATTGTGTTGATAATATCTTAAAATTGTTGTAATAGTTCTTTAAATATAATGTGGAGGAAGGACTGCATTAATGCACATATATTTGTATACATGAAGAAACAGATTATGTAGAGAAACTCTAGTTGTAATAGAAAAAACTATGCATTTACAACACTATACATTTACTCTTTGGACTTCTTTCTTCCAGTGCATAAAATATGTGAGGGGAAATTCTAAATTATGGGCAAACAATACAGAAATAAAACGAGAGAATCTTGACAACTAACTCGTACATCAACAAATCATCAGAATTTTAATGCTTTAAAAACAAACCTGGAAAGAGCACATCAATGTTTCGTCAACGCTCATCATACCACCTGCATTATCGAACTCACCACAATAGTTTGGAGCCGAAAATAATGTTACAAGTTGTCGTTTGGCGAAAAACTCGTAACCGTCTTCTACTACCTCAAAAATACAGCTTTTTTTAATGAATTTTAAAGAGTGTATGCTTTGACCAGAAAAATGGATCACTCAAAATAACTTTTAAAAAAGCAAATGAGTAGCCAAAGTAGGAAAAATTTGTCCAAAAAATATATTTAGAAGAAAAAGTCTTTCACAGATTACTCCCACTTGTCATCTAGAATTTTCTGTTGTGGAAGCATCAAATAAGAACGAGCCACTCTTATCAGAAAAGCTAAGAGAACGCAGATTTCGTCTAAAGATAAATTTCACTATGTCTTCCTTATGTGAGTCAGTTTGATGGCGTGTCGGCAATAAGAAAATACAGCACTTGAACTTTCACAGCTCTAATTCTATTAAAGAAATATGTTCCCCAATACAAGATAAGAGAACAAAGATTTTGAGAGGGTGGTTGCTGTGTTCCCTACATATAAATAAAACAGTCAATGTAAAAATTATTGCCTTTAATTTTTGTGAAATTGAACTTAAAACGGTAATGAAATAAAAGTTCCGAAATAAAAATAATTCTAATTACCTGATGTGCCCGACATATTAAATCTAAATCGTGGCGATTTAAAAATTTTGCTACAACATCAGGACCGAATGTAAAAGATACTCCTCGGTCGTTTTCACCCCAACCTTGCACATCTTTGTCCGGATCAGACCACAACAAATCACAAAGAAGACCTGCAATAGAAACTTCTAATTGTATTTCAGTGACTAATGAAAAATCTGAAATTCGGTAAGTTCATTTTTGAGTCCTTCAAAACTAAAAAGTAAATTAATAATAGGCGAAAATGATAATTGCAGGAAAACCGAAGGGATCAAAAGTGAACAAGCAGCACCAGTGTCGGGAACATCTGTTGGTCGCATTATTCGCCGGATTTGTTCCATATTTTGTAAATCAGGGGAAAGTCCTCCATGACAACAGAAAATCTTTTCATCTATGAGAGCAGCTATTGGAAGGCAATTAAAACAATCAGTGAATGTTTTCCATAGCTTTATCGAAAAGCGACGTTTGCCTATAATTCATCATAATTTAATTATCATACTGAAGTTCCATCTTAAAGTTACTGAAGTATTCGAAGTATGAAACTGACAAATCTTACATTCATCATAAAATCCATAAATACGATTAATACTAGCGCATTCGTGATTTCCTCGTAACAAGAAGAAATTTTCGGGATATTTCACCTTATACGCCAATAGTAAGCATATTGTCTGTAAAAATTATGATTAAGCATGTGATAGTGAGATTATTGTGACAGCAGTAAGGATGACTATTCAGATTCATAGAGTAAGGTATTTGACAAATCATAATGAACAGTAAACAATTAGTGAAAATAATGCAACAACAGTATCAAGTCTGAATAAGTTCTTGATACGACTAACAGAATTTATAGATCTACAAGAAAAGACTGCAACAATAGAAAGGACAACAAAAAGTTTCCAAAAATTACTATGAAAGTTTAGGAAACACTGCTATTTGTAAATTCACAAAATTTGGTTACAATAAACCTCTAAGCTTTGCTTTCCCCGATCAACGTAGTCTCCAAGAAAAAGATAATTTGCTTCCGGCGGGAATCCACCGTATTCAAACAATCGTAACAAGTCATTGTACTGTCCGTGAATATCTCCTGTAAAAAATATATAACTGAAGTTGTTATCGGAAACAGATTTCAAAATTCCTTTAGAAACTTGAGCAATTTTAAAGATTTATCGGCAAACCAGCTGATAATGTAGAATAGATGAAAGAAAAAAAAAACCAACCACAGATTTTGAGAGGCGCTTCGAGCTCCAAAAGAATAGGTTGTGACAAAAAGATTTCCCTGCTTTTATGACAGAGTGCCCTTATTTCATTTTCCGACATCTGAACAGTTTTTCCTGGTCGACAACCGCGCACTGAAATACAAGTATGCGATACTCGCTGATACTGATTATTCAGAATTCAACAAATCATTCAGCTTTTATACAAAAATAGGAAATAATTTGTGTTTGGTAAAAAGCAAGTCTTCCGATCCACTGTATGTAAAGCTTTGTTTAGCTTGCAAAAATTCCTGACATTTGAAGCTACTATGTCTTCTCAGAAACCAAATTTCTTCTGTCGAATAAGTGGAAGAAAATAACACAGATTTACACTGAGAAGCAGAATTTTCTCTAGTAACCGATATCGTTGTAATAGAAATAAGAAAATAGATAGGGAAATTCATCAGTGAAAAAAAAGGAAAAAAAATACGAGCTTCCTGACCAGTATGAATACAAAGAAAGTCAAATAATGTCTGAAATAACCACCAATTCCTGTTTTTCCAAGGTAGAGCTTTTTCATAGTGCATGAAGCAAGGGAAAAAAACGAAACATATCAAACAATGTACCGAAATGTTTCCATAAATTGTAATATTAACCAATGAACGGTAAAATGAGCAGTTCAGTTGATCGAAATAAAATGACATACCTTCTAGAAGTCGAGTAATAAGATGGTCAACATTGAGGTCGCTGTCACTGGCCATAACTGTACACACTACAGCTGTTGTAGATAGACCTAAGCAAGATCACTTACCTAATATTACTATTACTCGTAAACATGAACATATCTTAAAAGGTTATGCACATCCTAATAATGATGCCATGACCTTTATAACATTACAAAAGACGTTGTAACAACATAACTAAAGCGTATTACATGTACAAAACATTATATTAACTCGATAAAACACATACATCAATACACATCGTTAACTCCAAATGCACTTCTTAACCCACAAACAACCCCACATCGAACTTCAAATGATTACACAAACTGGCTAAACGTCAAGAATTTTTAAAATGTTTTTGTGTTGATTATCTTGTCAAGACCAGTATTAGAGGTTGCAGCTCTATAGCATGCAATAGAATAATAAAAAATTATTCGAGAAATATGAATTGAATTAATTGATCAATTAGTTCAAATCTAATATTTACTCTAATCGATTCGTTAACTGATCCATCAACTAATGGATCAGTTAACGAATCGATTAGAGTGAATAGCATGAAAATATTCATCTTTGATGGGCGCTTTTGTGATTAGCAAAGTGACATTAGCACTGGACATTGATACATAATTATTAGAATGATCTTCCCTTTTTCCCATTCTAATGCATCCAATGTGATATGTGGTACTATAAGGGATGGAATAACAAATATATTTATCGCTTACATATGTATCGCTTTTTTTTCTTTTGACACTAATTACCTAAATTCTCGATATTATAAAATATATTTTTCTCGTATAAACTTTCTTTGTTTAATCGTAAATCCATTCTATATGATGTCCATTTTGATAACAGCAATAGTTCATGCGTGGTTCATATCTATAGGTGTGTGTGTGTGTGTGTATGTGTATGTGTGTCTGTGTCTGTGTGTGCGTGTGTGTGTGTGTGTGTGTGTGTGTATGTGTGGAATACATATACTGCTATCAGTTTCAACGGAAGATGAATGATTTTCGATGTAGATATACATATGGTCTTTGTTATACATAGTTTTTTTATTACAGTATTAACTGTGTTATATTTATTATGAACATTCACTGGCTAACAATCCTGTCTCATCAATTATCTTGACTGATAAAACTGGAAATGTCATCAATATCCTTCGGATTATAAGAAAAGACAAATTATAATTACACAATAGTCTAACTTTTCGTGTTTAATTTTGAAACGAATTACTCTTAGTATTGCTCCTTTTTAAGGGTATCATATTGGATTTGTTGTTTCTAAAAATTGAAGAATTTAATTTTAAATGTTTGCCTTTGAAATGAAGGCAAAATTTAGCATTATTATTTTGCTTATAGGCCTAAATCGTATTTGATTTTTCAAAATGGCAAACGTTCTATAATTCGTTTACAACGATACATGTATTTAATGAAGAAATTTAACCAGAAATACATGTATTATTTAACCAAAAATTCTCGAATTTTCCATTTTCATCTCAAATGGCGCTCTTTCTTTTTATCATTTCCATATTATCCTAAATTACAGGGCCTTGATCAATGGTCAGTGAACTGAATCCAAGGCCGTGAAACATATGGTTGATTTATTGCGCCCTTGTTCCGTCTCATCCCTGCCTGCTCTTGTTGTTAGTAACCACCGACCAATTCTGTTTTCTTCCTCGAATTCGATAAAAATATGCTCTATTTATTTATTATCGATAAATTGTGCTTGCCCAGAGTAACCAGACTATTCTACCCGTTTCTCTTCCATTATTTCTCTTTCTCTTTCTCCTCTCAATCTCTCTACTTTGATAATTTTAAAAAAATTTGTGAATTGATATTAACTTCCGGAGAAAACAATCACTTTTGATAACCAAAAAAAAAAAGGATTATTTGCATTATTTCATCCTTTCACTCCTGCTATTTCCATTTTCATCTAAAGCGTACGTACGAGTAGAACGTATGTCTCCATTTGTAAAATATCTGAAGTAATTGTCACTTCTTGACCGGTCAAAAATTTCTGTTTTAGTTAAAAGATGCATCTTAGAACAAACATAAGAGGATCCCTATTACAACTAGCATTTAACGCTATAACCTCGGTATGATATCTTTGGTAGTATGCAGTACAGCAGAGGCTACCTAATATTCCCGAGAGCGGAAGATTATTACTCTCCTTTTCAAAATTAATAATATGGAATAATTTTTGAAAATAATTTATTTCAACGACTGCATCATTTCTTATTACCACTTACCTTCATCATTGCCGTCATAATTACCCCTCTTCATAATTATCCCCCCTCATTATTAATAACTATTTTCATTTTCATCACCCTCATTAATCTGTCATTCGTTATTATTATTGTTATTATTAATTATTATTAATGACTGTAATATTCTAGGCAAGAATTATAATCAATTTTTGTCGGTTTTACTGCAATCATCAGTAATTGTTATCAACGATTATCAAAAAAAACTGAAAGAGAAATGCAAAAAAATTTATGCGAGAAATATTATTCATCCACGATATATTTTTTCTACTTTTGATAGCCTTCATGCATTATTGATCTTTTTTCATGAGCATTCATTCAAGGAGAAAAGATTTTTCTTTTTTTTTTTTTTTAAATGCAAAATTATTCAGTTATGAAGGAGAAGGTTACTCATGATTTGTGAATACTTTATATGAATGAATATTTTATTTATAGGCAATTGGTTCCAATGAAAAGTTTTGAAACTTGTCATAGACTTCATAATGCTTGGAAAAAACCAAAATGAATTAAGAAATTTTCGGGTCTTATTCATTATCCGAATATTGAGAAATTGATGAGGCAAAAGTGGGAAAAAAGAACTGAGAATAAAAAAGGACAAAAGAAAAATTACCAACAGATGTCGTTTGTAAGGCTCATAACGACCGTTAAAGTGTTTTGGGCTGCCATTTAAAGTGTCATCGCTCTAATTCTGGAATGGTTGTCCAAGGGAGATATTTCTTTTCATCTATCTCTTCACTTATCATTGCATCATTTAGCTCATCAGATGTTTCAGGAAGACTTCCTTAGAACCTTTTTCTTCCAATCTTAAACCCAGGACTTGGTGGAAGATAAAAGAAATGGGAAAAAGTAAACATCAGAATTAGTTTTGGGCATTTTAGGAATAAAATAATTTTGAAAATTCGTTTACTAAAATGTATAAAAAGGTGAACAAATATCATTTCATAAGATTTCGAAATTTTGATTCTCCTTGAACGGTGCAGTGAATATGTGTACTTTCTTAGTTGCAGTTTTAAATTCAAAAAAAAAAAAAAATGAATAGACATATGAATCAGTGAGAAGCGAACTCATCTTGCCTACATTGATTCTGTTCCATTTCCGCAGTTTTCATGTTCCCTAATTCACGAAATATTGAAAGTTAAACTGGATTAAACTGGTTAAACTGGATTGGATTAATTTGTGAAATCCCGAACAGATCACTAAATTAACCTAGAGGAAAGAGAAAGACAGGAGCTTTGTGAATTTTCCATTTTTGAAAGGGAAAATAAACATATTTTGTAAATGATACGGCTAAAAAAGGATGTTAAAGCTGTTGTGGACGTGGGATGTAATTAGGCAAATTAATAGATTTTGAAATAACTGTAACTGCAAACAAAACTTAGTTCTCAGGAATATTTTCAAAAACATCATTTTTGAAATTCATTAATTAAGACGTCTTCGGGCAGATTTCATGCTCTTTCTAAAATAAATTGGTGAAAATTTACTGCTATTAAAATGCCATTAATTGAGATGCTGTCACCTACTCGTGAACTCTGAACTCTTTAACTTTAGCCCCTTAATTGATCAAAAAATATTCGAGCTTCGGAGATAACCTATAATTCTTAAGATTAAAAAAGGTTCTTTAAAAATAAAATAAATTGATTTCGGAAGGGATTTTGAAGAACAACACAATTTCAAGTTGTGATAGTCAAAGTTATAATATGGCCTCTGGAAAATGTTTACAAGAAAAAATTATATTTAAAGATTTCTAAATGCTAGAAAAATAAAGAAAGATCGTGGAAATATTTGGCAAAAGAAAATGAAGGAAAAAAAAAGGAAGGAAGAGAGGAGAGAGAGAGAGAGAGAAAGAAAGAGAAAGAAGAACAAAACATTGGGACCTTTTTTAGTCACCATTATCTATTTGCAGCTGTTTCCAATCACATTTAACATGAAGATTCATCAAACTTGAATAAATCACATCTTTAAAAGGATGATTCATTCATGATTTTCTAAATATATCCAATTTACCTTCACTGCTTCTTTCTTTGTCCATTGAATGGATCAAATTCTCGAGTTGTCATTTCAAAAGTGAATACAAATTCTCGAGTTGTCATTTCAAAAGTGAATACAAATTCTCGAGTTGTCATTTCAAAATATTTTTTTTTTCCACTTTAAAGAAATTATGACATTATCATAGCTTTCCTGTTTATCAAATTCTCATTTCTAAAGATAAATTTACTTGACATGCTCCTTCTGTCCTCTGTAAGAAACGAAAATGATGGGTTAAAGAGGGGAGGTATCAAATTTTGAAAGCTTTCTATGCTCACTACTACTACTCCTTTGAAAGGAAAGGAGTAGTAGTAGTAGTAGTAGTAGTAGTAGTGATAGAGCTATCGTTAATGAGAGAAGCTGCTGTACTTTCATTTTCTCCTTACATCCCACTCTGGTCAATTTTTTGCTTTATAACCACACTGATCTGCAGCCTTATCCATTGGGATAAAGTAAATGGTAGTAGTTGTTTTTCTTTCTCATCTATGGATCGTGCAAAATCATGTTTGGGGCATTATCAAATCCTTCTCAATGATGATTAATGTTATTTGCCGTATGTCATCGTGTCATCTAACATTTTTTTTTTTTTACTTTGCTCATATCATAAATCAACCTTATTTTCAGCTATAGATTATAGATTTAATCATAATTAATCAAATAATCATTATCATGAGGAAGGAAAGATATTCTATCAGGAAGATTCTTTTCTTATCAATTAATCCCTTTCAATTTTGCAAAAATTTACTCTAAATAGTCTTTTACCATTTCAACATAAAAGCTTCTTCTTCAGATAATTTTCATTCTTTTTTTTTTTTCAGTATTTGGAATAATTTCTTTTTTCAGATATAATTTATTTACTAGTGGAATAGTTAGAAATAGATTTAGGTGTAATCTGAGACTAATTACTAAAAAGGCAAATATGATTGGAAGAATTCATGTAATCATCTTCATCAAAGGATATTCATCGTTCTAGGCCCGCAACATTTAATCTTTAAAAGAGAGTTATCAGAGAAAGTTTCATTTATTTCTCTCATCGTTAGAAGATGTGTTATTTGTTGATAAAATGATAGGCATTATCATCATCTTGTTGATAGGCATTATCATCTCTATTTTTGCTATTTATTTTTGTAACTGTAAAATTGTCAATTACTGAAGAAGCAAACGGTTTTGGCATTTAACATAGAAAAACATAACTGAAAAAATGAGGTCGCATATTGTATAGAATCCTACGTAATGTGTTCTATAAAGAATGTTAACATTGAAATTAGAGGAATTTAATATTAATCACTGTAATATTTCGGTAATGAATGAATTAATTTTAAAATGCTCAATATCTTTGGTGATTTTAATCTGGAAAACAATTTTTCATAATGTCTCACTTTTAATGAAATTATTTTCAAAAATAAATAGAAAAGAGAAGGGAGCGATTTTTGAAAAGCATATTAGTAATTGATTTTTAGCTTTTTATAAGAAAATATGATACTGAAAATGTTACTTGTTATTAATACTGTTTGCCTTTTTAGTTAAACGTAAATATATTTGTTTTATTAAATAAAAGTTTTGAGAAATTCATTGAACAAATACATTTAAACAACTCTGCTTTTTATGGAACTTTTACTCTTCCTTTTATCGGATATGATAATTGATAATTTGTTGATGATAATTGATAATATGATAATTTGTTTCACTTATCACACAATTTCTTTTTCGGTACTAGCACTGTTTCTTGTTACTTTCATACATAGTTATTAGTTATACGGTAATTATATTTTCATCATTTCGTTTTTTGTCAGGTGCTATTTGAATTGATACAATATGATTTGTAAATAGCTTCATCATTCTTTATGTATTATTTGTTATGAAAGTTTTCATTGGATAATTTAAGTAAATATTATGAGGTGAAGAGGAGAAGAGGAAGGGAGAAAGAAAAGGTCCAAAGGTAGAAGGAATAGATTTCCATCGAAATCAATGCCGAAATTTCTTAAAACCAATCAATACTTATGAGTGTAGGAGAGTGATGTCACAAGTTTCACCGGTTTTAAAATTTGCTCCCTAATATAATCGTACTGTATAGCACGAGTAACATCATTTCCTGAAATGCTTCAAATATGGTTGAGAAACAGCTGTCAGGGTGGGGGGAAAACAGGTAGGAGAGATTGCTCTTTGACCAAACACCAAAAACACTACCACGACCGCTTCCTAATCCTTTCAGCAGTCAAATCAGCTAAAACGAATTGTGTGAAAATTTGACAGATTGAGATGAATGAAAACAGAAAGCAAGGAAGGAGTAGTATGGGAGAGGTGATGCTGCTTACTTTTTAAATTTCGAAATGGCATTGATAATAAGAGTAACATGACAATATAAATGGTATTGATGGCAATGTCATCAGTGAGTGTAGTGGTTGCAGTAATTTCACGAGGTTGATATATCTCGAATGTCCTTTTCGTCTTGTCATTTTTATAATTCGTAGTTCACTTTTAGTCTTTTGTTGTTTATAATTAGGTAATGGTTTATTTACAAATGTCATTTTGTCATCGACCATTTTTCATTGTGTTAGCAATCAATGCATTGCATTCATTCTCATAAACTATAATCTGTTTTACTTTTCAATGTCGCATTCTTTTCTATACTACTGTTACGATTGACGGATATGGCACAAGTTGAAGGAAGATTGTTGATATTAATTTGCTAAGATTCTGATTTAGTCTAGAACTTGAATTATCCACTGTAATGATTGCCTGATATTATCATTTATTTTATTGATTTTATCAGCGAAATTTATTTTAAACTCAAAGAAGAAATCTCTAAACCATTATACTACTTTAAATCATTGTTACCGTTTTAATCGATACTTTTTGTCCTGGATTTATGACCCATAATGTAAGACTTTTGTTCCTCAATTTTTGACTTTTATTTCGCAATAAATTGTCATTTTGATTATAGGAGTGTATGTATGTATTTGTTAAATGTGGAAATTTCGATACGATAACATAACGCAACTTTGTAACCGATTTTTTTTTCATTCAAATATTCATCCTTGATCATTGATATTTTTTTTTGCAAGAAGAAATTTTATGTTCCGGCCCTTTCTCACTGTCTGCATTGTCTATAGACATTGCATACTATCGCTCTTCCCATAATTATAAAAACATTGAACAGGTTGTAACGTTACGAGGACACGTTAGTTAATTGTAGTACTTGAATACCGTTCCAGATTGCATTCTTAAAAATATTGTAGATGCCGTTGTTGCGTTATCAATATTCCTCCTATCCTTTTTTCACAAACGTCGTCGCTCTTTTATGTCATTGTTTAAATGACATCCTTTAATTTTGTCCACTTGCCTGAGGAGATCCACTCCAGGTTTCTACAATTTCAATCATTGTTACCGATACATACAACCGTTTGTTAGAGAGTACCATCCGAAAATGTCCATAAATGCCTAAAGAATTTTCTATTGTATTAGTGATGCCGTTTTATTCTCTACCAATTAGCTGGCTTACCTACTTTTCCAACTTCATCCTCTTCCCCTTTTTTCGTGATTGTCTTAAAGAATGATTGATGTGAAAGAATGAAAATAGTTAGAGGAGGAGCTGGGCATCATTTCACGTTCCATTACGTTATTATCTTCTCCATTTCTGAGAATTGCATATTTGCTTTACTCTCTTTCAACAACTTGATAGGAATCTAGCCTGGAGATATTCATCATCATCATGTGGATTCTAATTAATATACGAACAGTAGGATAGCATTATGCATACTGTGTTTCATTTATGTCATAGAGATGATGGGCATTGCTTCTCTTTTCTCTAACCATTTCGCTTAAATTATAGTGAAGATTGTGCTGTTGTCACTGATGACTATTTCTTACTACATAGTATATGTTAAACATTCTCTCCTTATGATTCTTATTATTAATTGTTTTACTAATTAGTCATGTGTTTCCATAACATTTTCTTTATCCAATATCTTTTAATTCATTTTATTATTCATATGCATTTATTATTCTCCTTGAGCAGGTAAGTCTCGTAATTCATGCATGAATATCCATTCTATCTCATTATATTTGTAAAAAAAAAATGTGTGAAACAAAAATCATAATGGATTTATTTCCACAATGGTTCCGATTCCGATTTCAGGTTATGGCAGATCTTCAGAAACGCTTACAAGCTTTACGTCAACAGTTGGATGATAGTATTAGATTATATTATTGTCAACAACAACAACAAACGGCGATGAATCGAACCAGTAACGGTGGACGATCAGTAGCATCTGGAAGTATGAAGAATCGTCGAATACTGCATCTATTGCATCAAGATGAAACTGATGCTTGCATACAAATATCGGTACATTTTGAAGCTCATTTTCAAACCTTTTGGATTCCGGAAAACATTGCTAATAGATGTTAGTATATATCACGGTTTCACGAATCACTTTTAAGTCTTCATAAAATACATTACTTTACTTTACATGCTTATTATTGCAAACAACAAAGTAATAGGTTGGAAGCGGTGAGTGAAGTGAATGAAGTTTATATGTGACAATACATACATCTTACCGATTTGTTGCATCGAAGATGAAACATCATAAAGAGTTAAGGAGGTAAACATCTAATTATATAGTAGTAACCATTAAATGGTTAAGTGTATTGAACCGATTCGTATTGAAAAAATGGTTAACATGTATGTAGTAAAGTCGTAAACATATTCTTTCATAATTGATTAGTTAGCTGAATCAGTTTGAAAATAGGAGTGTATGTATGTATTTGTCAAACCTTTTCATGGATTATTCTTCTGTCAATTTTGCCTCACTTTGATTTAAGAGTGAAAAGAAACTTTTGATGCCTTAGAATTGAAAAGTAGCATAAATTGGCATTGACCACTTTTCCTGAAATAGTGTTATTGAGTATGAATAAAAGCAGAGTCTCCATATAATAAGGAAATAATTTGATTCTTTTATCACAAATTAAATTTATTGATCACTCATGCATTATCCTTCTCTCTCTCTCTCTCTTCTCTCTCTCTCTCTCTCTCTCTCTCAGCCAACTGAGCAATCAACTAAGATGTATCGGTGCACTAGAGAAAGGTGAAGAGAAATTTGCATACTCTAGCAAAATGATCGAATTAGGAATTGTTAGATGAAAGATTGAATGAATAAATTGTTGTTAGCATTGGTTGTGTCCCATAAATTTCATGACCATAGTACTTTACTATTTCCCATTCCCTCTACTGTGTGTATATAAAAGTTAGTGCTAATCGAGATCTATCACCACTACATCTTTTCGTTATCAACTTCTTGTTTAATAGTTGCTTCATAATCCTTCCATATTTATTCATTTTTTAAGATTCATTGAAAGCTGTAATTAATGAATTTCATGGCTTTTAGAGAGAGAACAAGGGAATTGTTGAAGAAGTATAGTAGATACGTATTGATGAATAAAATACCTTGAAGGAATGCTTCTGAATTGTTTCAAGAAATATGAAAAAATTAGAATTTTTAATGGTACAATGATGAAAGCTAAAAATGAATGAAAGAATAGTGTATTGTTTGTGCTATGACATGGAGAACCTTTTTATTGTATGTGATATTTCGATGTCATATAATTGCACCATAATGTATTGTTTGTGCTATGACATGGAGAACCTTTTTATTGTATGTGATATTTCGATGTCATATAATTGCACCATAACGATCGGTGAGCACAACTCTCTCAATGCCTGACAGGCCCAAGATAGGAAATAACGCGCAGCACAACTCACTCATCATATTTCTTTTCTTATCGATATTTCGGGTAGTTAAGTGATGGCCTTAGTTTCTGTACCATAGGCATCGTCCATATTCACTTTCTGTTTGAAACGAATTTCTCCACGCAAGGGGTGTGAAAAATTTGATGATGTATCAGTTTTGATTTAGGTAACAGGCCTATATACCTTCCTTCGTTGTCCTTTTTTGTCGGGAAACTTTCAAGACCTCTTAAAAGGTACTTCTTGATTTCTCTTTTGATATTTAACGACTGAAATGGTGATATATTCATGATGATGCAACAGTTCATCATATTAAGCGATGAATGTTTGATTCCTTTTCTCCTTTTAATGCTTAAGGAAAGCAGCTGATCTAAATTTTCGTAATTAAAGGTGACATCTGACTACTCCTAAAAAAATGTTGTTTTCTACGACTTCTCATCTCATTCTTTTTTTTATTTTCTATCAAACTAATTGTTTTAGGGTATTAATTGACAATGGTTAATATACCATAAAAATTATTTGCTAACCACAAAAATTTTCGAAATGAGGTCCAGATTCATTTAAATTAATCTTTCTTACTCAAATGCAGCTAACAGCGCATGTGTTTTCATATGACAATACTGCGCAAGCTTCTTCTTTAATGATTCAAATGCATACATATGAATAATTAAATTTGAATCAGTCGTTAAATTTTGCAGGGGAATATGGCAAAGAAAGCTTTCACCATAGCGACAGTCACGAAAATACCGAATAACGATGCTGTATTTGAAGAAGTCGATTCAGTTGCTAATTCGACTATATCACCATTGCAAGTCATTGTTAGTTCTGGCAATCAGCAGCAACATCCTGTTCCTGAAACAGTAATTAATTTCATGGCAGGGTATGTTCAGCTGATTTTTAAAGCAAAATTCGATGCTTTGATCACTTGAGGATATAATCAGAATTAACAATGAGCCTAATATATTGTTTTAAAATTATGTTTGCTTTCACTGGACTGCTCCAGAAACTTACAATTAACAATAATTTCTATTCTGGCGTTGGTTG